TAAGGTTAAATACAAGTCAAATGGTGAAATAGATAGATATAAAGCACGTTTAGTTGCTAAAGGTTATAATCAAAGAGAGGGTATTGATTTTGAGGAGACTTTTTCTCCTGTTGCAAAAATTGTAACAGTTCGTATTGTTATTTCTCTTTCTGTTCACTATTCTTGGCCTTTATATCAGTTGGATATTAATAATGTTTTTTTATATGGAGATCTTACTGAAGATGTTTATATGTCACTTCCACCTGGTTATTATTCTAGTAATGATACTAGGGTATGTAAGCTTACTAAGTCTTTATATGGACTGAAGCAGGCTCCTAGGAAATGGAATGAAAAGCTTTGTGCATCATTGTTTATGTTTGGTTTTAAACAGAGTATAAGTGATTATTCATTGTTTATTAAGAAAATTGAAGGTTCAATAACTATATTGCTAGTATATGTTGATGATATTATTTTAACTGGAAATAGTGAAGTAGAGTTAAAGAAGGTAAAGAATTTTATGAGTAGTCAGTTTTTAATTAAAGATCTTGGAACACTTAAATATTTTTTAGGGATTGAAGTGGTTAAATTTGACAGTGGTTTATGTTTAAACCAAAGAAAATATTGTCTTGAGTTGTTGCATGAATATGGTATGCTTGGGTGTAAGTCTGTGACCACACCTTTGGAAACAAATTTTGTTATAAATTCTGATAATCATGATGGGAAAAATGAATTGTTGGAAAATAAAACTGAATTTCAGAAACTAATAGGTAAACTTATCTATCTTACAGTTACTAGACCTGATATTTCTTATGCAGTCCAGGTCCTTAGTCAGTATATGCATAGTCCTAGAAAGTTACATTTAAATATTGCTTTTAGATTGTTAAGGTATTTGAAAAATAGTCCTGGAAAGGGAATTGCTTTAACCAAATCAAGTGTGTTGGAATTGAAAGGTTTTGTGGATGCAGATTGGGCTAAATGTTTAGCCACAAGAAGGTCTGTATCTGGGTATATGGTATATCTTAATAATTGTCTTATTTCTTGAAAAAGTAAAAAACAATCTACTGTTTCAAGATCCTCTACTGAGTCGGAATATAGGGCTCTTGGCTCTATCACATGTGAGATAATTTGGATTTTAAAAATTCTCTTTGAATTAGAGGTTAAAAGTTTTATTCCTGTTTCTGTTTTTTGTGATAATAGTTCCACAATTAAATTAGCTCTTAATCCTGTGTTTCATGAAAGGACAAAACATTTTGAAATAGATCTGTATTTTGTTAGAGAAAAAATTTCTAGTAGTGTTTTAAAACTTGTAAAAATTGGTTCAGATGAACAAAATGCTGATATATTAACAAAGTCTTTAAGTGTGAAACAACATGAATTTTTGTCTAATAAAATGGGTCTTATTGATATTTTCAGAAAATAAATATTTCGATTGAGGGGGGATGTTGAAAATGTTCATTTATTTTGTTACAATCTCATATTTATTTTAAGAAAATTGGAAAGGGTATATTATGTAAATGTTGTGTTCTGGAAGGATGAAAGTTGTATGCAGGTTATAAAGTTAAGACACGCGGGTTGAATCTGGGTCGGTTCTAGATCGGGTTATATTTGTGGATATAATCCGAGATATAAATAGAGGAGAGAAGGTTCTGGAGATAAGATTTACAGATGAAGTTGTTAGATCTAGATATTTTCTCTCAGTTTTATCTCTCGAGAGTTCTTTGTTGTTAGCTTGATACATATCTAATTCGTTGTATTTGAGTGAGAGAAAAAGTGTGTAATCAGATCTGTTTTTCTCTCATTTTTTGATCGTTAGAAGTAGTTTAGGTTGAGTGACAATCTAAGTGTTTTTGTAGTGAGTTTTGAGTTGTAAGTATATTGAAAAACCACCTGTTTCTTGATCTTATATTGATATGATAAATGGTGATGTTGGGAAGTTAGTTTTGTGAGTTTTTAACATTGATTCTGCCATCATTTTCGTTTTTTACATGATAGTATCAATATCCAGTGTTCACTCGTAATCACTGTTAGAAGAAGAAAAAGTACTATAAGGTTTTGATCTTTTGAATTATGACTGATGAAAAAGGGATTTATTGGGCTTTTTAGGAATATGATAGTTTTGGTTCATTGGATTTCTTATGATTATGATTATCTTGGCCAAATAGTGATGAATAAGAGAGCCAAGTGTTCTTCTTTTTAGGATTACTAAGAGAGTTTTGAGGATTTATCTCACTGTTCAACTGTGGATCCATCCAAATTGTTTTGTTTTCTTAGTGAGGAATGGAGCGCTAATTTTAGATAATGGAACTATGGATACAAATTGTTTTGTTTTTCTATCGAGAAATGGATCGCTGATGTAAATAACCTTTGTGTCTCTAAAAAATTGAAACTGTATCTGTATTAATTCAAGAAAACAGTTCTCTGATTATAATTGCGTTGGCATTCTCTTAGGGATATTCTGTATAATGCTTAATGTTTTTGCAGTATATAGCAGGTAATCTGGAGGATACGTTCAAGCTCTTAGTTCATACTTTGTGTGTCGAGGAAATCATGGATAGTAAGATTGTCCCTTCATCGCTTGCTGAGATTGCACCTTTTCTTGGTGTCGCTGATGAAATTAAATCGGAAAATCTGAGGGTTGCCTACTGTTGTAAGTCCCCAACACATATTATAATTAAATTTTACACACACACACATAGTTTAAATTTAAGGGTATTATAGCTAGGAAGAAGGAAAATATTTTCTAACTCCAATTCTAAACACAACATGGCCAAGATCCTGACACCCAAACAGAATTATATAGGGACAGATATTACTGTGGGTAATATACATTCAAACTGAATTATATAGGTAAAATACATTCATGTAATATAAGGACATGTTTGGTCAGAAGAAATAGAACAATTTGTGGGTAATATCCCATATATTCATTGTAGGGCAGAAGAAATCTGTGTATCATAAAAAGATAAGGAAATAAGTATTTCACAACATAAAGAAGTGAATTATATAGGGACAGATACTACCGAAGCATACCTTTGGGTATACCCATATGCTTTGTAAAAATTCTTGTATACATGATCAGGTCGGTTATATGCCTATGAAAGAGCTGAGAGACTAGATCTAGAATCAGCTGGCCCTGGTGGTGTTCATCAATTCAAGATTTCCCTGCTTCAGCAGCTAAAACAGGTGTTTGTTCTCTTCTGTTTACTCCTTCCGTATTCATGAGCAATTTGAAGCAAATCAAGACTATTATGCCAGAAAATTTTTGAGCAAATTTGTATCAAGTATTATGTTCCATGTATCTTTCTTAAACATTTAATTGGTTGATTCTCAGAATGTCAAAACGTATATCAGTCTTTTGTTCTTCGTCATTCCATGTTAGATGTTTCCTTATCGAGACAAACTTTTAATTTGTTAGAGCCAAGTTAATATTGGATTGATAGTGTATCCTTTAGACAGACCATAATTTCTGTCTTAAGATCGATATACATATATCTGATGGTCAAAGATAGTCAAAATGTATATAGTTGATGGTCAACATATCGGGCTCTTCTTAATGAATCGTTTTTATCTAATTGAATTACAAAATTAGGTTTTATTTATTTATTTCGAAATTCAAAGTTAACTGTCTGACAGGTTTTTGACAGTTATGAATTTCGGTTTTGACAGGTTTTAACTGTCAGTTGAGAGAATATAAATTACACCTCAATTGACAGCTTTTCTGGTTGGAACTACCCATAAAAAAATATAGTTCTCGTTCCACGTTTTTCCAATGTTTCATCATGGAGACATACTTTTGATTCGTCATATCCATCATTATCTTGGATTGATATGTATGTCTTCTAGACAGACCCATAAGTGGGAAAATTCTATCTTACGACACTGCAGTTGTTGCAGAGTTCGATCAAATTCATTTCTCTAATTGGGATTCAAGTACGTTTTATTGCGTATTGTATTTAACAATACATATTTCTATATTTAGTTTTTTCTCTTTTGAACATATCTTTTAATTGTTTGTTAAATTCGTTACTACCACTGTTAACGTGGTGCCATAGTTAGTTTCCTTTTTGAAATTGAGTAAATACATAAATGACCATCTTTATTCCAAAGGCATACTCTTTTAATTCCCTTCCCATAGATTATGAATCCCATAATTGTATTCTCTTTAGGAAGATCAACAAACATCCAAAAAAGTATGTTGGATAATGGAGTAGGCACAAAAACTAGGGACATAAGGAAATCTACTATAAAGAAAGACCTCTATTCAAATACTCTCTATCAACACATTATTTTAACCAAGACTAGTGAGCCTATGTAGAAGATTTGAGAATGAAAAAATGCATGGGATAGATTGAAGTTGTAGAAATGAGATGAGTTTGCTTGAAAATAACTATATAAGCTTTGGAAAGCTTTGAGTGATAGGGTGATTAAAAGTCCTAAAAACTCTAAGTCGATGGATTTGTTTTAGATGGAAAGGTTCTATGAGTCGATGGTCTAGAGTCTGGGGAAAAGATGGTGTTGTTAGGAAAATCTATCTAAGATGTCTCTCCTGACAATGTGGATTTTGAACTAGAAGTAGGTGAGTCAGAGATACTTGTATTATTTTTTTATCTCTAATAGTTGAAGAAGAGATGTGGCAGCCACTATAACGACCAAGAAATGGGGTGGGTTGGCATCATATCCAGTTTGGCCCGTTTTGACTCTATGTAGATTTCATGTAACTTTTAAGACCTATAACAAAATAAATAGAAATTTTCTTGTTAGGCCGTAGATGTAGCATGATTACCCAAAATCTATGTGTTCTTTACTTCTCTTTGCATCTTAAATTTTGTGTGTGCTGATCGAAAATGTAACAGACTTGATCCTGCTGAAGAGAGAATTGGAGATGGAGGAAGCCCCAAATTTAATCATCTTATTTTTTATATGTATTCTTTTTATTTTTTCTATCCTGATTGAAATATTTTAATTCTCATTCCAGTACCCTCTATGTTACAAAAGCTTATCGAATTGCAAAAGTTCTATTTATGGTTCTGAAGTCAGTCAGTCGTTTAGATTCTGTTAAGGTGCCAGAGGAGGTAAATTGTTGGATATTCTGTTCCTCGAAGAAATCCATTTCATAACTTCTGAAATTTTCTTTATCCAATTTTTATGAACTATTAATGTGTTTGTGTTCATAGATATTGAAAGCACATGAATTTGTAGTTGCGAAGGCAGGAATATACACTCAGGATATATTTCTACTTGAACCTGAAACTTCAGATCAAAAGGTACAAAGACATCCCGAGAGATATGTTCGAGAAATTCATTTGATGATTTCCTATATTTGGTGGAGCAATTTGGTGAATTGTTACTGTGTATGTGTGTAGATATTTATTACAAGCTCAAATATTGCTAAGAAGGCAGAATTGCATACTGATAATATACTTCCATTTAAGCCTGGAAGTTCAAGTCAAGAACAGCTAAGATATCCAGAGGTTGGTTCCAGAAATCATGTATATATCATATATGTATGTTTTTTAGACTGGTTCAATATTAATTAGTCAGAACATGTCTGCAGATGAAACAACTAAACCGTTGTAGAATCCCCCTGGAGGCTATAAAAGATAGTACCCAAGACTTTAATTCTAAAAATTTCATTGGGAAGGGTGGATATGGAAGTGTATACAAGGGAATGCTCACCTGGGAAGATCATGTAAATGAGCCAGTTGCTGTAAAACGGCTAGATGTCACTGGGTTTCAAGGTAAAAAGCACTACTAGAAACTTGAGTTTCAGCTATGGATTTTACTACGGATTTATTCTCTAGCAAAATTTAGACTTATAGCTAGGGAAATACGACAGATCTACCATGTTTTTTATAATAATTTTATTTATTTAACATATGAAATATTAGTGAGGATTTACCAAGGGATCGGCTACGGATCTCGCAAGGATTTAACGACGCACCACTATTCCTCGCTAATCACTCAAAAAATAAAGGCGCTTAGCTAGGGTTCAACGAGGGATAAAAAAATTGTGCCATAGTACCCGTTTAGCGAGAGAACGACGACGGAAACAATATTTGGGATACACGCGTTTTGTTTTTTCTATCGCCAATCTCTCGCGCTGAAATTGGCACAACCCAGTTCCATCTTCACGAAGGTGGTGTAACTTTCCTTCCCTCGAGCTTTATCATTCTTGACTCTGGAGTAAGTTCCCTTCATCTCTGTTCCGGTTATGCTTTATCTCACCATCTCTGTTCGATCAGATGACGACACTGCTCACCGGATTCCGGCAACCTCCACATCTTTAAATCTGAAAGTATTCTTAATTTACCTTCGTTAGGGTTTAATTTACCTTCCAGTTCAGGTAAATCTCGTCCTTCTTAGGTTAGTTTGAGTTCAATTTCACAATATACTTTGTTAGGGTTTAATTTACCTTGAAACTTTCTGGTTATTGTGTTAGGGCTACCATCGATTGCATCTATATAAGAATAGACACTTAGAATTAGAACTTGAGTTAGGGCTTGATTCATCTAGTTTCTCAATTTTCATGCAATTCCAAAGAGCTACAGCATCATCATTCTCCCCAGATTTAATCATCAAAACACCAGGACAATCCAACCATTTGATATTCTTGTCTAATTGATATTCTTGCATTGTTCATGTCAGACCTGGTGTAGCCCCAACATTGGCAACATGACATATTTTCAAGCTAATAATTAGATTGCTCCTGCCTACATTAGGCAAGCCAACTACACCCACAGTAATCTACTTTTTAATCTGCATCAAATTTGGAGTACGACATCAGTAAAAAAACTTATAAGTTAACACCACATGAAAAAAACAAGATAAAAAGGTTGAAATGTCCACATCATGGCTTCTTGAGTAATTCTTGACTTTTTAATCGACTTTATAAGAGTTTCTGCTGCTTAGACAATCACTTGTTTGTAAAAGATTAGTTGTCTTTTTTGCAGCCTTTGAGGATTTGTATCCCAAATTAGATTGTGCTTATTTGTTAATTTCTAGACTTTATAAGAGTTTCTTACATTATCTGCTCTTGTTTGCAGGATGCAGACCTTATTATGCTCGCTTTGGCTACACATGAACTCCATTTTTCCATTTTGCAAGAGGTTCTTGTTTAACTTCTTGTAAAATTGTGCTTATTTGTTAATTTCTAGCACAGTACTTTTTGACAATCAATTCTAATAATTCTAAGTTCTCGTATTGCTTGTAGAAGATAAGTAAAAAACAAGTCACTTATCTGTGTTGTTGTAAGTTGGGAATTCCGAAACCAATGTGATGAAATGTAGAGGATGGTTCAAACAGGTGCAGTTGACTATATATAAACATTTTACTTTCTTTTAATTCCTTGTTAATACAGGCTAATCCGTTTTTCCTGTGCTTCTGCTAGTTTGACCTAAACCATGATAAAGTTGATATAAGTCAACAGATGAACAGCCTTGATATTAAAGCTGTTGGAAAGCCAAAGTGGTTTGTGAAGAAGCTGCATCAGGTAATTAAGGAGTCAAATGTGCATGATGGATTAAACATGAGCTAGGAATTGGTATCTATGTTGTATGTACTTCTAATGTTAGTTTTATTGTGTCTTTTTACTGCAGTTTCTTCATGTTTGGATGCTGAGAGAATATCTTAACCTTGATTTGAGATCCACAAATGTGCCTGAAAAATTTGAATATGATATTAAACGACTGATTGACGATTTCATATTCATATGCTCTTTCAGTGGAAATGATTCTCTTCCGTATATGCCAACCTTGGAAATTCATGAGGTTTGAATGCTTTTTCCTTTTAGTTCTGTTTCAAGAAATTTTGTGATGATGAAAAAGTACAAAGATGAAAATTTGCTAAGGGTTTACCAAAAAAGTGTATTGAAATCTTCAAGAAACAACTAAAGCATTGTGGCTTTTGTGGTCGAAAATCCAAATTCTAAATTTTTATCATTCTTTATCAGGGTGGTAATGATTTATTGATTCATGTGTACAAGCAAGAGTTCAAGAACCTTAGAGGGTATCTTGTGAATATGGAAAGGTAATTAGTGGTGGAATTAATGTGAATAAAAACTTTAGTTTCTCATCCATGACCCTAGAAGAGTCTGTTTTTGATCTATAAGACTCATTCTTGACGATGTATATAGCATTAGTTTCTATGTTTTGAATTTTTGAAAAATAGAAATAGGTGTATGATAAGAAAGGAGGGTACATCAAACTAAAAAGGGTTGAAAAGTTCATCCTTGCAGTGGGCGCATACGAAGATCAGATTTTCAAGAAGAGATCAGCAATCCTTGAAAGCAAACTTTGACGTATGTTGTCGAAAGTCGAGGATGAGGTATATTTGATCATTTAAGTTCACTTTCTTTATTTTAATTTCCTTACAAATTCATAAACATACTTTTGCAATTAATCTTTATTTAGAGTGGTAATGGAGAAGTGGAGTTGTTTCCTGTGATGTTTGTTCACCATACACCGAAAAATTATTTGATCATGATGTGCAAGTATGATGTATTGTTGATCCCTACTTTCTTTCTCTATCGTTTTTGTATCTTTCTGAATCATATATTTGGGCTATACGACATGTCTTTTTCTTGTTTGCTCAGATGGCCGAGAATACAAAAGCTGCTCAGATGATCAAGAATACAAAAGCATTGAAGGAACAATTAAAATCTTACAATCGTGAGATATCAGAGGTTTTCAGAAACGGTCTTCTTTTAGACACATGGTATGCATCGTTGTTGTGAGCTTTCCTTCTTTTCAGACTGTAGATTACCACAACTAAGAAACGGTTAAACTAAATTTTGTCAGGTGGAACTGGGTACTCCTAGGTGGAGAAAACGGTATTACAAATACAAGTTTTCTACTGAAACGAAAGCGGATATGGAAAATACGAGGAAAGAAATCGCCACTGCTTATGCTAGTTGAGTTTAACAGGTTAATTGAGAATTAGATGATAGTTTGAAGACTTGACATGATATGATTTAGCAGTTGCTGTGTCAAAAGAAATCGCCACTGTTTTCCTGATCGCACTTTCATTTCTCTTGTAGTTGACCTTCTTACTAAAAATGGGCGAAATGGTAATTTACTAATTTTCATTTTCGTGTTGTCTTTCAATCATGTGTTTAAATGACATGACTTTTTCAGGTAAAACAATGGAAAAGAGTATTATATGTATGAAAAAGGTAGCAAACCAAAACCTGATAATATGGTGTTACCAGTTATAGAAGAGTCAAGAAGGGTAGCCAATCTTATGCCACAAGGAAAGGTAACCCACTTGTACCCTTGGGACATACTAAGGGCAATTTTGTCATTTTGTGTTTTATCTGTGTAGACTATAGCCATGACTGATGAAGAAATCGTAGAGATGGTGTTGTTTCCTATGGTGAATGAAGCATGTCGTGTTTTAGAGGAAAAAATTGTTCTTAAAGCATCCGATCTTGACATTGCATCTGTTCTTGGGATGAGTTTTCCTTCATATAGGTATGTTTATAACTGAAAAATAGCAATATAGTTTGCAAGAATAAACAATTTTAGATCAAAAAAAATGTATTTTGCATTTACATTTTCACAATGTGTTGCAGTGATGGCATTGTTTTTTGGGCAGATGTTGTTGGGAGTAAACACATATATACAAGTCTGAAGAAATGGTCTGAAAAATATGGCAACTTTTATAAATCATCAAGATTCTTGGAAGAAAGAGCCATGAATGGTGTCCCATTGGTGAGTTTACTTTTTATCCTCAATCTTTTTTACTTAATGGACTTAATGGGACACAAGCTATATATTGGTGCTCTTTTGCAGAGCGCACCTATAAATACGGGTTCTAGAGCACGTATGTAAGCAAGGGTATACAACTATATGTTCATGGGTTGAGTTATATGAAGCTAAGTATGATATGAAACATGATACTTTGGTAACTTTGATAGTTTTTGTATTATATTGTTTGGTTGTATCATTATTTGTTGTTTTTTAGTATAATAATTTGATGATTGTAGTATTTTTTTTCTTTTAGAATCATAATAAAAAAATGATACTACTAGTTTGCGACGGATTAGTGACAAAAAAAATGCATGAATTTTGTGAGGGATCAGTTACAGAAAAAAAAAAATCATGTCTAAAGTTTGCGACAGATCAGCGACGGAAAAAAAAAATTTAGTATATAAACTTTGCAAGGGATTAGCTACCGAAAAAAAAACTGATGAGGGAAATTTGCGACAGAACAGCGACAGAATGTCATTAACAAATTTTGTCGCTAATGTCCTGGGTAAATGTATTGAGTGACATTTAGCAACGGATATTCTGTCGCTAAATTTGTCGCAAGGAAAAACCGATCCGTCGCTAAAACCCTCGTTGAGTCATTAGCCACTTTTTAATTACCTATGGAGTGAATCTGTCGCAGATCCATCGCAAACAACATTTAGCGACAGAATAGCGACGGATTCTTCCATCTCTAAAACCCCTGTTTATAGTAGTGAAGGAGTTCCTCACCGAGGTTTCAATTCTTTCACAGTATCAACACGAGAATATCATACCCCTTATAGGGTTTTGTGACGATAATGGGGAGATGATTTTGGTTTATGAATACACAACTCATGGAAGCCTTGACCAATACTTACGTGACACCACAATATCAAATAGATTGTCATGGCCACAATTGCTTAAAATTTGCATTGGTGTTGCTTCGGCATTGGATTATCTTCATAATCATGTTGCAGAGAAACACCGAATAATACATCGGGATATAAAAAGTTCAAATGTTTTGTTGGATGAAAACGGGAAGGCAAAACTTTCGGATTTTGGTTTGGCTAGGATAGCTTTAGCAAATCAACAAAACACCCTTGTGATCACCAACATTGCTGGAACATATGGTTATAATGACCCACAATACGAAAGAACAGGATATTTATCAAAAGAATCTGATGTGTACTCATTCGGAGTGGTTCTGTTTGAAGTATTGTGTGGAAGGCTAGCATATGTTTTAAGTTACCATGATGAGCATCGATTCCTCCATCATCTAGCCAGAACACACTATGAAAAAGGAGAGTTGGACAAGATTATTGATCAGAGAATAAGAAATGATATAAAACCAATAACGTTGAACAAGTTTTCTGCTATTGCATATCGATGCTTGCAAGAAACTCGAGAACAACGACCTGCAATTGCTGACGTTGTATTCCAACTTAAGGTGGCTATGAAATTTCAAGTAAGTTGTGGATATCGTTTTTATCAGTTCCCTAAATATGGAGATGATTTGAAAGAACAAATATATAAAATTATTAACAAAAATGTACATTTGTTATTGACACATCATTTATTTATTTTTAATTCATCAGGAGTTAGAAGATGAGGAAGATGAATTCTACCTTAGTGGATACATGAAGGAAGCTTTATCCTTACATACAGAAACAATTAGATAAGACAAAGGCATTAAAAAAACATTGTAAACACCTAAAAGTATTTGTTCTCTACTTAAATATGTCCCAAAATAAGTGATCAACATGGTGACAACAATGTGAGAATTTATTAGAGAGGTTTTAGTTTTAAGTCTGGGCATCATCTTCAATCGCATGCTCTTTGGACTGTGATTTAATTTTCTCATGTTAGCTACGGGACCGGTTGGAGAAGTTAACAGCCGGTGACCCTTACCGTATATCGTATATGAATTATAAGATGCCTGCTTTATTATTTGTTTGTCTTGAACACTTGTAATTTAGGAACATGTTGCCTTGAAGAAATTTTGGATAAAAAGATCATTCAAGCTAAGTTTGTCTTAATGTTTGATTATATCACAATATAGTTGAATCCCTTGGAGCCATTCCTCTACTACGTTTAGTGAGACAATAACAAGGTTGGGAATTTGTTTTGTAGGTTTTGGTTTACTGTTACAATATTGTAGATTGTGTCTCAAAATCAAATTACTCCTTTGTGCATAGTTAGGCTAGGCCAACATAATGTGCGTACTTTTTGTTGGTATCGAAGAAAAATGGCTCCAACTAATACATAACTTGAAAACCTTCCCCATGTTCTTGAAATAGTAATTTCGACGGGAGCATGACAAAATCAGGTTGTGTATATAAGCTCTCAGTTTTTACTTTTTTGAAAGCCAAATATTTATTTAGAAAAGAAGGTAACCAATAGCAAACTAGCAAAAAACATAGTACAAGAAAGTGAGGCATACATGAAACTGATACCCTTGTACACGCTTCCCCTTATTCGAACCTATTAAAGTGGATTATGAAGCCTATTAAACTTGGTCAGAGAATAAGGGAATTATTCTACAAAAAAGAACCATTAATTTAGTCCATTACAGACCTTTTATCCCAAAGTAGTGAGACTAATACGATGCTTTTTTACTACCCAAAAGCAAACCCCCAGAAACAGCTTACAGCCTTACATAAAAGCTATATAAGAAACAGCTTACAGCTAGTCCAATACACACAGTCTGATAGAACCTTAAAATTACAGCAAGCAAATGATTGAATGAAAATTAAAGGGCCCGATTTGAGAGGGGCAAAGTCTCCAATACAAACAGAAAATTGATAAAATTACTGAACTAAGAAACTATTGAAACATAGCCTGCTAATTAACACTTGGAAGATCACTAACTGCTCCTGGAAACTAGCTTGTTAACTGCTCCCCACATTTCCATTATCTCGTTGTTTTGTTGACCCAATGGTTCTAACCAAATCCCAAAAATGGCATTAAATTGCTCCTGTTCACTTAATTCCGGGTCATGAGGTTTTACCCGTTTCTGCCTCCTTCTATACACTTTAAGCCGGGTTGTATCATTACTTCCCTCCCGGTAAAATGCCTTGTTCTCCAGGCAAAATTTAGGAAATTGTTTTGCCGACAAATCATAAGATTCCCAAGTAGCCTCTTCAACAGGTCGATTACACCAAGAAATTAATAGCTCCAAGACTAATTTGCCCGCTTCTGAAACCCAATGATGTGAGATAACCGAATGAGGTTGTAATTCGACTTCCCAGTCTTTGGTAATTGGTAAAGGATTAACGGAATCGTCAGAAAAGGAACCATAAGCTCGTTTAAGTATGGAAACATGAAAGATGGGATGAATTTTTGCAGCAGGAGGTAGATCCAGCTCATATGCAACCTGACCAACTACACGCTTGATATGATATGGTCCAAAAAACCTCGGTGACAGCTTTTCATACCGATGTTTGGCTAGGCTGCATTGGCGATATGGTTGGATTTTAAGGTAGACGTAATCACCCACCTTGAATGACAGCTCCCATAATTTGGAGTTAGCTTGATTCCTCATACAGTCTTGTGAGCTTTGAGAAGGTTGGTACAACAAAGTTTTAACATATTGTCTCGATTGATCAGCTGTTGTTCCAGTTCATGGTTTTTTTTTTCTCCTGCGACATAAGGCAGAAGAGGCAGAGGTTCTCTGCCATAGACCACAAAAAGTGGAGTAGTGCTAGTGGAAGTATGATACCTGGTGTTGTATGAGAATTCTGCCCATGGTAAGAATGAACTCCATTTGGTTGGTTGCTCATTCGCGAAACAACGTAAATATGCCTCTAAACAACGATTGAGTACTTTCTTCTGCCCGTCCGTTTGTGGGTGGTAACTAGTGTTGAACTGTAACTTGGTTTGATACAAACGAAATAGTTCTTACCAAAAATGACTAAGGAATATGGCATCCCTATCAGAAACGATTGAATGAGGGAAACCATGTAAACGTACTATCTCTTTGCAAAATACCGTAGCTACACTTTTAGCAGGCGAGTTAAACCAAGGAAATGGGCATATTTTCTCAAACGGTCCACTACAACGAGGATAGTGTCAATCCGATGGGATGGGGGTAGACCCACAACAAAATCCATTGATAGGTCCTTCCAGACTTGTGTTGGGATAGGTAAAGGTTGTAGTAAACCTGCACGCGATAGGGTTTGGTATTTTTGTTGCTGGCAAACAAGACACTGTTGCACAAAGAGTCGGACCTCCTGTTTCATTTTTGGCCAAAAATATCGAGCTGAAAATCATTTCATGGTCTTTAGAAATCCCTCGTGTCTGCCCATTAGAGTGTCGTGAGCTTCCTGTAACAGCTTCACCTTGATGTTGTGTACATCAGGTATCACTAGATGATTCTAATAAAACAAAAATTGTTCCACCAATTTAAAATCGGGGATAGAAGTTGGGTTAGTCAATAATCGTTAAAGTGTGTCCTTTGTACACGGGTCAGATTTGAGATCGGACTGAAAATCTGCAACCTCCACACAATACGGGATCGTGATAGTTAATAGTTGACCAGAATGCGGCATTCAAGAAAGAGCATCCGCTCCTCTATTCTCCTTTCCAGCCCGATGATGAATCAAAAAGTCATAAGGCAGGAGCTTGAGTAATAGTCGATGTTGTTCGGTTGTGGTGATACATTGTTCAAGAAAAATTTTAAAAGTGTAGTGGTCAGTGCGGATGATAAAATGGTAGCCTAGGAGCTAATGATTTCATTTTTATATAGCCAACACCAATGCTAACAACGCTCGATCATAAGCTGATTTCATCCGATTGGAAAGAGAGAAGCCTTTACTGAAGTAAGCTATGGGATGTTCCTCCTGCGAGAGAATGGCCCCCTATTCCTTCTGACAATGCACCACATTCCACCACGAAGGTTTTATCAAAATTTGGCAATCGGAGGACCGGAGCAGAGAGTAGTTTCAGGGCGTTAAATGCATCCAAGGCTTCTTTGGACCACATAAACCCGTCTTTCTTAGTAAGCACTACAAAAATACTGACCTTTAGCGGCAACAAAAGTCGTCGCAATTGATCATCTCTACCGTCGCTAATGCTATTAGCGACGACATATCGTCGCTAATGCGTCGCCCCAGTTGGCTCGTAACTAATAGCCCATGTCGTCTCTAATACTGTCGTCCCTAATACACCAATGCCGTCTCAAATAGTGTTGTCCCTATTAATATTCCGGCCACCGGTAGGATTTTTCCGGCAATACTCTCCGGAGGCCATGTCGTCACAGTTGACATTAGTTGTCTCTAAAGGCGTCGCTACTAATGGTTTTTTTTTTTTTTTTTTTTGAGAAAAACTTATTTTTTATAATATTAATTTATATATATTATAAAATGCTGTTTTGATAAAAATACATATATAAATACATACCACATTATATAAAAACATCAAAAATACCATATTCCATAAACTATTTTCCAAACAAAAATCAAACATACCATATCTAATAAATCTCAAACAAACGTTTAATATATATCATACATAAACTATTTTCCAAATCAAAAATAACATCCTCCATATCATAAAATAAGAAATACTAGTTGTCTTCGTCTTCCCCACCGTCCTCCCCATCGTTGTTTTCCTCGTTGACTTGGTTTTTAAACGAGCGAATAATGTCTCCAATGGCCGTCACAAATGCCGGGTTTTGAAGAAAAGCATTCACATCAACATCCTACAATTAAGTCACAAACAAATAAGTCATGAACAATTCAACAAACTATCAAACCATCAAACCACCAAATCAATTAAGTCTATAACAATTTAAGAAACTACCGAGCTACCAAAAATTATTACAAATACATTAAGTTCTTAACAATATAACAAAGCAACCAATTTTTTTAAGAATTTAACAAGTACCTATGTTGGTTGCGATGCTTGTGACTGTGACTGCCATTGGGATGAAGCACTTGTACCCACAGTTGAAGAAGCTTTAGGCCCAATGCCTCTCACATGCCCCCTTCGAGTACCCAACACCTTCTCAAATATTGCGATCCAATCAATGGTGTCTGGATCACCACCAGAGTCAGCTATGTGATGAGTCTGTAGAGCAACCTCAGCAACTAAGGCATTCTGTATTTCACAAAGATTGTTAATATACGTTAAAACTAACAAAAAAAAATTCAACAATCTACTTCATTTTTAAGTAATAATAACTTACATATTGCTCTTCAACCAATGGATCAAGAAATTCCCCTCTTTTATTTACATGCGCACGATGAAATACTTCAAGTCTATTCAATTTCTGTTTAACATTACAAAATATGTTATAGTTGAATAAACATTAAAAAATATGTTATAACTGAATAAACATTATTGTAACTTACTTTCTTGAAACAAGCACTACCGTAGTTGCACGTCCCTCCATGATTCTTCACTACTTGCTTCTTTCGGCATTCTTTGTTTCCAGCGGATCGTTTTTGATGTTTTTCTGTTAAGAAATGGTCAATAGCAGCATTCCAACGCTGCTGATCCATACCCCTAGGGGCTTGAGCCCTTGTTGCCTCCACATTCCCTGCAAAATCATCAAAACCGTTTTTTGCAATATTTTTGCGGCCTCTATACCGCGCACATATCCGATTATTCAGTGATGCCCAATAAGTTGAAGCCATGGGATGATTTGTAATTGCGTCAAAATCAAACCATCTCTACAAAA